CCACTCACCTCAGCCTCCCAAAGCGCAGGATTACAGGCTGAGCCACCAAGCTCAGCTTACCAAGTCATTTTATTAAGCAAAGAAAAGCACACACCTCTGGACAGGGTGGCTCATGCCTGTCATCCCAGCACTTTGGGAGGTAGAGGCAAGAGGATTGCCTGAGCCCAGGGGTTCGAGATCAGTCTGGGCAACATAGCAAGACCTCGTCTCTATAATAAATTTAAAAATCAGCCGCCATGTTAGTGCACACCTATAGTCCCAGCTACTTGGAAGGCTGAAGCTGGGAGGATTGCCTGAGCCCAGCAGGTTCAGGCTGCGGTGGCCGTGATCATGCCACTGCACTCTAGCCTGGGTGACAGTGGGAGACTCCGACTCAAAACAAACAAAAAAAAACAGAAAAGTATGCTCCCAAGACAGGAGAGTGGCAGAAACAGCCTTTAGAAAGCTGTTGCTTCTGCCCCTCTGTGATTGTTGAGTTCTGACTTTTATTCTTAGGGATATTGAGGAGTGAGGTCAGGGGTGGGCTTTTCCTAGAAATGGGTGGTCTCAGGGCTGGGTCTCTGTTACTCCACCCTCATGTCAGGCGGGGAATTTCAGTCCTCACAGGGTCACACTAGAGCTGTCTGGCATCAGGTGTGTCATGGGAGACGCCCCTAGGGTAATTTTATGCTAATTTGTTTGTTTGCTTTTTGAGTCGGTGTCTCACTCTGTCACCTAGGCTGGAGTGCAGCGGCAAGCTCACAGCCACTGCAGCCTCAACCTGCTGGATTCAGGGGATCCTTCCACTTCAGCCTTCCAAGCACCGGAACCACAAGTGCACACCACCATGCCTGGCTAATTTTCTGACGTATTGTAGAGATGAGGTCTCGCCAACTTGCTCAAGCTGGTCTCGATCTCCTGGGCTCAGGCAATCCTCTCACCTCTGCCTCCCAAAGTGCTGGGATTACAGGTGTGAGTCGCTGCCCGACCTGGAGTTTTCATTTCAATATCTCTAAATACACTCATTACTATTCTTTTTTATCGTAGTAAAATGTATGTAAAGTACTAGTTTTCATTTTAATTATTTGTAAGTATACAGTTCAGTGGTATTAAGTATGTTCATAATGTTGTATAATCATCACCCTTATCTACACGGGTGGGACCCCCAAAATCCCAGAATTTACTTTTAAAACATTGTGTATTTATTGTTACATGTTTAATTTCAGTCTCCTTCAAAGTACTCTCTGAGGCAATAACCTACTGAAATGCTTTTCCCACTGCTCAAAACAGTTTTTTGAACTCGTCCATTTTGCTGCCTTTTAGTGCTTCTGCCGTTTTTTGTTTCACCTCTTCCACGACTACAAAATGTTTCCCTTTGAGGACTTTTTTCATGGGGGAAACAAAAAAGATGTCACTTGAGGCAAAACCGGGTGAATAGGAAGGGTGGGGCATGGGAGCCATGCCACTTTGGGTCAAAAACTGCAGAACATGCAGCATAGTGTGGGTAGATGCCCTTATAAATCTCCCCCCCCCCAAAAAAATCACTACCTGAATGCAGCCTCTCACAACAACACTCGCTGGTACACAGATGCCTATGGGGTTTTGGGGGGTTCCTCAAAGCCTTTCCTGTGTTAGGTGGGGTCCTCCAGAGACAAAATCAATAAAACATATAATGTATGCATCTATATATTATACATATAGATATGTAGCTACAGATATAGACATATATCTCAAATGAGATTTATTCTAAGGAATTGGCTCATACAGTGACAGAGGTTGGAGCCCTACAATCTGCCATCTGGAAGGTCAAGACCTAGAAAAGCCAGGGGTGTCGGTTCCAGCCCAAGGGTAGATGACCAATGTCTCAGCTCAAGCAGTCAGGCTGAGAGTGAGAATTCAACCTTCCTCCAGCTTTTTGTTCTGTTCCGGCCCTCACCAGAACACCCACCTATGTCAGGGAAAGCAATCAGCTTTACTCAGTTCACCCATTCAAGGGCTCGTCTCTCTAAAAAGACCCCCACAGACACGCCCAGAAATAATATCTAACCAGACATCTGGGAATCCTGTGGCCCAGTCAACTTGACACAAAAAATTAACAATCACAGTTGGGCACAGTGGCTCATGCCTGTCATCCCAGTGCTTTGGGAGGTCAAGATGGGAGGATCGCTTGAGGCCAGGAGTTGGAGACTTGGCCTGCACAACATAGTGAGACCCTGTCTCTACAAAAAATAAAAATTAGTCAAGTGTGGTGGCACACACCTGTAGTCCCAGCCGCCAGCTTGGCTGGACGGGAGAATCACTTGCGGCCCGGAGTTTGAGACCAGCCTGGACAATGTAGTGAGTTCCTGTCTTTACAAAAACCAAAATATTTACCAGGCATGGCACACACCTGTAGTCCCAGCCACTTGGGAGGTTGAGGTGGGAGGGTCACTTCAGCCCAGCAGGTCGAGGCTGCAGTGAGCTATGATGGTGCCACTGCACTCCAGTCTGAGTGACAGAGGGAGATGCTGTCTCAAAAAAATAAATAAATTAACAATCACAATCCACAACATGAACTCTGTACCCACTAACTTACAACTCTTCCTTTCCCCCTTTTCTCCTAGCCCATGGTAACCTCTATTCTCATTTCTAGCTCTGTGAATTTGCCTGTTCTAAGTACCTCGTATGAATGGAACCATAACAATAATTTATCATTTTGTGTCTGGTTTATTTTATTTAGCATAGTATCCTCAAGGTCCATCCATATTGTAGCATATGTTAGAATTTTTTTTTTTTTTTTTTTGGGTAGGGGTCTCACTCTGTCGCACAGCCTGGAGTGCAGTGACACAATCACAGCTACCACAGTCTCAACCAGCTAGGCTCAGGCAATCTTTCAGCCTCAGCCTTCCAAGTAGCTGGAATCACAGGTGTGTGCCACCACACCCAGCTAATTTTTTCATTTATCAAAGAGACAAGGTCTTGCCAAGTTGCCCAGGCTGGTCTCAAACTCCTGGGCTCAAGCAATCCTCCCACCTCGGCCTCCCAAAGTGCTGGGATTAGAGGCATGAGCCACCATGCCTGGCAGAATTTCCTTCCTTTTTTGGTCTTGTTGTATGCATAGAACACGTTTTGTTTACCCTTTCAACCAGTGATGGACACTTGGGTGGTTTCCACCCTTTGACTATTCATTATTTCCTTTCTCAAAACATGAACTCTCATTCTTGGCATCAGCTCCTAGGTGTCCTATCAGCACAAAGGCCTAGTGACTTCCCCTTTTACTGCCAAGGTACAAAACAGTTGCTCCATCCAGGGAACAAAGAGGAACTATCTTAGAAACATAGGTCTAACCAATCTTCTCTACGTTAAAGCAATCTCTTTTTTTTTGAGTCAGTGTCTTACTCTGTTGCCCAGGCTGGAGTGCAGTGACACGATCACAGCTACCACAGTCTCAACCAGCTGGGCTCAGACAATCTTTCAGCCTCAGCCTTCCAAGTAGCTGGGACCACAGGTGCACACAACCACACCCAGCTAATTTTTTGATTTGTTGTAGAGACAAGGTCTTCCCATGTTGCCCAGGCTGGTCTTGAACCCACGGGCTCGTCTATTTATATATTTAATTATATAAAATATATATAAAGTGACAACTAAAAACAATGTCTCATGGCAATTTCAATTTGCATTTTTCTTATGGATTAAGGTTTAAATATATTTAGATTTCATTAAAAAAATTTTTGAAGAACTCAAATTATTCTACAAAAAAGATACCTGCCCATGCATGTTTGTTGCAGCTCTATTCACAATAGCAAAAACATGGAACCAACCATGCTGTCCATCGAAGCTGGACTGGATTAAAAAATGTGGTACATATATACAATGGAATATTATGCAGCCATAAAGAAGGACAAACACACGGACTTCACAGCAACTTGAATGGATCATACTCAGTGATCTATCACAGAAATAAAGAACAGAGTACCATATGTTCTCACTCATAGGCGGACCCTGAACAATTATAATACTATAAGAAAGGGACTGGCAGTAGTGGGAAACTGTCAGGGGAGGGGGGTGGAATTGGCAGTTGAGGGAAACTGCTAAAGGAGGGAGGAGCACACCTCATCAACAAGAGTACCTGCATAATCAACATTTGTATACCTAAGCCTGAATTGTACCCCACATCTTTAAAATAAAAAAGAAATTACAAACTTAAAAAAAAATTTTTGAGTTGGGGACTCACTCTGTCACCTAGGCTGGAGGACAGTGGTATGCTCAGGACCACTGCAACCTCGACCTGCTGGGCTCAGGTGATCCTTCCACCTCAGCCTTCAAATAACTGGAACTACAGGCGCGCGCACCACCACACCCAGTTAATCTTTTGATTTATTGTAGAAATGAGGTCTCACCAAGTTGCCCAGGCTGATCTCAAACCCATGGGCTCACGAAATTCTCTCGCCTCTGTTTCCCAAAGTACTGGGATGACAGGCATGAGCCACTGTGTCCAGTTAGAGCAATCTCTTTAGTATGGTAGTTTTCGTAAACAGGCTTGACGTTGATTTTACTTTATTTTTGAGTCTGGCTCCCACTCTGTCAACCAGACCAGAGTGCAGTGGCACAATCACAGCTCACCGCATCCTTGACCCTCTGGGTTCAATCAATCCTCTCACCTCAGTTTCCTGAGTAGTTGGGACTACAGGTGTATGCCACATGCCAGTTATTTTTTTTTCAATTTTTTTTTTTTGTAGACACAAGATCTTGCTATGTTGCTTAGGCTGGAGTGCAGTGGCATGATCACAGCTCACCACAGACTCGGTCTCCTGGGCTCAAGCGCCCCTCCTGCCTCAGCCTCCCAGGTAGCTGGGACTACAGGCAGGCACCACCATGCCTACTTTTTAAAAAATATTTTTTGTAGCAGCAAGTTTTCTCTATGTTGCCTAGGCCGGCCTCGAACTCCTGGGATCAAGCATTCCTCCTGTGTCAGCCTCTTAAAGTGCTGGGATTACAGGCTTGAGCCACTGTGCCTAATGTGATGTTAATTTTAAAGAGATTCTGCCAGGCACGGTAGCTCACACCTGTAATCCCAGCACTTTGGGAGGCAGAGGTGAGAGGATTGCCTGAGCCCAGAGGTTCGAGACCAGCCTGGGCAACTTGGTGAGACCTTGTCTCTACAAAAAATCACAATAATTAGCCAGACATGGTGCCATGCTCCTGTTGTTCCAACTGCTTGGAAGGCTGAGGTGGAAGGATGGTCTAAGCCCAGCAGGCCGAGGCTGTGGTGGCCACGAGAGTGCCACTGCATTCCAGCCTGGGCAACGGAGTGAGTGAGACTCCAACTTAAAAAAGAAAGAGCCAGGCTCGGTGGCTCAGCCTGTAGTCCTGCACTTTGGGAGGCTGAGATGAGTGGGTTGCCTGAGCCCACGGGATGACAGGCGTGAGCCACTGAGTCCAGCTAGAGCAATTTCTTTAGTATGGTAAAAGTTCATTTCTAAACCAGTTGATTTTGAGTGTCTGTGTTGCCATCTTGAGAGATGTTTGTTCAAGTTAATTTAGAGTTGTGTTCTCCATCTTGGCTACGTACTTGCGTTGTCTGGGAACTTGAGAAAATGCTGATCTCCGAGCCCCTTCCCAAGTGAGTCTGACTCAATGCCTCTGGTAGGTTCTGTATGCTGGAATTTTTTTCTTTTTTCTTTTTTCTTTTTTTTCAGTCGAAGTCTTACTCTGTCACCCAGGCTGGAGTGCAGAGGCACGTTCACAGCCACCACAGCCTCGACCTGCTAGGCTCAGGTGATCCTCCCACTTCAGTCTCCCAAGTAGCCAGGATTACTGGCACACCCCACCATACTTGGCTAATTTTTTAAATTTATTGTAGAGACGAGGTCTTGCCAAGTTGCCCAGGCTAGTCTCGAACCCCTAAACTCAGGCAATCCTCCTACTTCAGCCTCCCAAAGTGCTGGGATTACAGGCATGAGCCACCACACCCAGCCCCTTCCCAAGTGATTCTTACTCAATGCTTCTGTGGTTGGTTCTATTAACTGGAATTTTTTTGGGAGGTGGGGGCGGGTCAGAGTTTCACTTTGTTGCCCAGGCTGAAGCACAATGGCACAATTTTTTTCTTTTTTTCTTCCACCTCAGCCTTTCAAATAGCTGAAACTACAGGCACGTGCCACCACGCCTGGCTAATTTTTTAATTTTTATTGTAGAGATGAGGTCTTCCCAAATTGCCCAGGCTAGTCTTGAACCGGTGAGCTCAGGCAATCCTCTCACCTCAGCCTCCCAAAGTGCTGGGATTATAGGTGTGAGCCACCATCCCCGACCACAGTGGCACAATTACAGTCACAGCAGCCTCAACCTGCTGGGTTCAGGCGATCCTTCTGCCCCAGCCTTCCAAGTAGCTGGAAGCACAGCCACGCGCCACCACACCTGGCTAGGTCTTGACAAATTGTCCAGGCTGGTCTCGAACTCCCAGACTCAGGCAATCCTCCTGCCTCAGCCTCCCAACGTGCAGGGATTACAGGCCCCTTCCCAAGTGATTCTGACTCAATGGTTTGGTGGCTGGTTCTGTGTGTTGGTATTTTTACCAGCTCCCAGGGGAGCCCATCGTGTGGCCAAGTTGAAGAACAGCTGAGTTGGTGTGTCCTACAGGTGCAGCTGTATGTGGGACGAAGAGGAATGCAGGTTTCTCCCACTCTGGAATAACCACTTGGATGTTTTGAGGCACCAGACAATGAACTTTGTCCTGTTTGGAATATTGAGGGAGGAAAAGAGATAACAGCAAATATTGGACTCCAAGCCTTTCAGATTAAAAATTAATGTCGTCTGGGTGTGGTAGCTCAGCCTGGAATCCCAGCACTTTGGGAGGCCGAGGCAAGAGGACTGCCTGACCCCAGGGGCTCAAGACCAGCCTGGGCCACTTGGTGAGACCTCATCCCTACAATAAATCAGAAAACTTAGCCAGGCGTGTTAGCACGCACCTGTAGTTCCAGCTACTTGGAAGGCTGAGGTGGAAGGATTGCCTGAGGCCAGCACATTGAGGCTACAGTAGTAGTGAGCGTGTCACTGCACTCCAGCCTGGGCAACAAGAGTGAGACTCCAACTCAAAAATAAAAATAAAAATAAAAGTTAATGTCGATGAGCTCAAGGCAGGGGTAGGGCATGGCACACAGGAGGGGGCAGAGGGGAGAGGGAAAGAAAAAAGTTAATGTAGCTCAACTAACCTTTTCCAGTGGTAGGGATTTGTTCCATCTTTGAGCCAAATTCCTACCCCACCAAACAGGTGTTGGTGCTTGTGGTGAGACATCAGAGGCTGAGTAAACCAGGTAGGAGGAAGATGGGAGAGAGAGTGAGGCTGCCTCTGCTCACATCCTTGTAAAATCCTCCCGGGTTCGTGCTTAAACTGGGCCATGTCATCAGCCATTCAATGTGCATTTGTTGATGATATGCTATGTGCTAGACCTGGGTTCACAGGGGGAAGCCCGGAGTCCCTGCCTCCCAGGGACTCCCAAGTCATGACACCTGGGTCTCCTATGACATGAGGTACATACACTTATGAAAACTCCTTAACTGTAACCCACAACTTTAAAATAAAAATATATATTAAAATAAATAAATAAAAAAAATAAGTTAAAAAAAAAAGAAATTATGAGGCCAGATACAATGGCTCATGCCTGTAATCTCAGCCCTTTGGGAGGCCAAGGTGGAAGGATCCGAGGCTTGAGCCCAGGAGTTTGAAACCAGTCTGGACAACATAGCAAGACCTCATCTCTATGAATAATAATAATAATAATTGTTGTGGGGAAACAGAGACAATGTAACACAGGCTGTCCGAGAAAAGGTAAAAATAGGCCAGGTGTGGTGGCTCACACCTGTCATCCCAACACTTTGGGAGCCCAAGGTGGGAGAATCACTTGAGGCCAGGAGTTTGAGACCAGCCTGGGCAACACAGCAAGACGACATCTCTCCAAAAAATGTTTTAAAAAATTAGCTGAGTGTGGTGGCACATGCCTGTAGTTCCAGCTACTCGGGAGGCTGAGGTGGGAGGATCGCTGGAGACCAGGAGGTCGAGGCTGGGTGAGTCATGATTGTGCCACTGTACTTCAGCCTGGATGACTGAGTGAGACCCTGACTAAAAAAGAGGGTAAAAATGTGTGCCATTTGGAATAGAAAATGAGAATAGAAGAATTTGTGCAATTATATGGCACCAAGGAAGGACCTGGTCTGTGAGGTGAGGCCAGCAGGAGACGGTCCAGAGGACTCTGAGAAACGACGGAGGACCCAGGAGGAGAGCTGAAACCTCGTCCAGCGTGGGAGGGTGAGGACGCCTGCCTGCGGGGCCTCCCGAGTCTGCCCTCAGCAGGAGCCCCTGGGATAATTCCCAGGGTCAGGGCAGGTTGACCTGTGGCCCGGGCAGGGACTTTGGTCTCACAGAAGACTCTCTTGCAGGGCTTTGTGTTGGCCAAGGAGACACTATGGGAGACGGTGAGTGTTTCTTCAACAAAACCCTCCTTGATCCTTTACCTCAAAGACCCTTTCCTCCTCTCTCCCTTTTTTTTGTGGAGACGAGTTCTTGCTATGTTGCTCAGGCTGGTCTCGAACTCCTGGGCTCAAGCAATCCTCCCGCCTCGGCATCCCATAGCATTTGGGATTGCAGGCATGAGCCTCCGTGCCCGGCCCCCCTTCCCCTTCTCGAATGGGCTTTTGGGGGCCAGGAATGAGTCCAGTGAGCCCCTGGGCTCTGCTTTCCTGCAGGGTCTCTGCCCAAGCCCTCCCTTGTGGCCTGGCCCAGCTCGGTGGTCCCTGCCAAGAGCAACGTGATTCTGAGCTGCTGGACTCCTGCCAGGGATGTGAGCTTTGTTCTCAGAAAGGGAAATTCTATTTTGAGTTCTTTGAAAGCATCTGGTCCTGTGGAGGGCCTGGCTGAATTTCACCTCAAGGATCTAAAAACCCGTGACGCTGGGGAATACACCTGCGAATACCACAGTAAAGCATCCCCCCACACAAGCTCACAGCACAGTGATGTCCTTCTACTGTTGGTTACAGGTGAGGAGGGGCGTCCCTGAATGACATGTGGTGATCATAGGGCAAGGGATGGAGGAGGAAGCAGAGGGAGAAGAGGGGCCCAGTCTCCGAGGTAGCTGGGCATAGGAGGAGGTGGAGAGAGTCAGGAGCGGAATTGAACAGCTTGGTTTCATACAGATCTTGGAGGGAAATCCTCTGCCCTGGAGTCAGAGTAGAAAGTGAGATGGGCTGGGTGCAGTGGCTCACGCTTGTCATCCCAGCACTTTGGAAGGCTGAGGCGGGAAGAGTGCCTGAGCCCAGGGGTTTGAGACTAGCCTGAGCAACATGGCGAGACCTTGTCTCTACAATAAATAATAAAATTAGCCGGATGTGGTGGTGCATGCCTGTTGTTCCAGCTACTTGGAAAGTTGAGACCGAAGGATCACCTAAGCCCTGCAGGTCAAGGCTGTGGTGGCTGTGAGCATGCCACTGCACTACAGCCTGGGCAA